ACTTGGTCAAGGACCGGAAGTCGTGAGCTGCTTGAGTCATATGTAAAAGAATCGTTTCTGGCCATTCCCAAGTGAATGGCGATCAGAGACTTTCCTCACTGGCGTGAACATGTGTAGAAGTCCCCCATCCTCCCATAATATCGTAATTGTGTGAAAATGTGACTTCGCAGATTCCTGCGAAGACTATTTGGACAAAATCCTTATTCATATGTTTAAATTCGATTTGGTTGTTGGATGTGTATACACATTTAGCAAAGGATAGCGCAACTCTGTGAAAATATGAACTATGGGAAAATCATCTTTCTAGGTTAATAAACCTATGTGAAGCCATTAGAAATTCCAATTTCTTAAATTTAGGTTCAAATTCTATTTCGTTGTAACATGTAAATATATTTAGCAAGTTGTATGAAAATATTAACTACGCAGATTCATATAAAGACATGGTTTTATGGTTCGGGATCTCGACATTTCTGAAGAAGACATTTGTAGTTCTTGGCGATATTAATATAGCATAAATAAAAAGTATCAGAGCGGGGTATGAGGGCTCGCAAACAGGCGTGTTTCTTACTTGACGCGAGGAAAATAAAAATAGAAATAAAATAGGTTGCTTGCTGGATCAGGGAGGACCGACCCTTGGTGGTTGGAATACGGCCATCTGGCGAAAAGTTGTAGCAACCCAGCAGACGGAAGCCAGTGCTACCTTAAATGTGGGGGCACTTTGCGAAAAACCATCTGGCAATGCTTGCAAGAAAATGGTCAAGAGAGCACATATTACCAAATTGTAGCAAAAATGTGCTCTGTACTTAGAAGTGTGCGAAACAGCTAAGACATGAGAGTCTTGCAACTTGACCTCAACTACTACGAAGCAGTGCAAGAGCTACTTATGAAAACGGTGTTTGAGCAAAAAGTAAACATAGCAATTACAACTGAGTGGTACCAAAACCTTGATATTGAAAACTGGAGCTCCGATTAAACCCTAAAAAACAGCCGTATGAGCCTGCGGGAACAAAGCAATTCAAAACAAGTAGCAAGGGCAACAGAATGAGGCCTTCCTGAAGGCGTTCTCAACGCTGGTCATAAGATTCAGTCACCCTTAAAAAGCGTAAATTAGAGGCTGGAAAGTCGACAACGCAAACAACGCTGCAGGAACAGAGCAACAGACGGAATACATTAGCAAGGCATGTGATGTCGTTATGTGCAGGCAAGGGCACATACTGGTGGAATGACGAAATTGCAGCCCTAAGAAACGAATGTCACAAAGCGAGGCTTCTGTTTATGTCGACTGATGCGTTAGAATCTGCTGTCTTTATCGATTATCCAGTCAGAGTTTCATAACAGTTTATCCATTGGAACTGAAGTTATTGCATGTCAGTATGTTTGTGTTGTGTTTGCACTTTGTTTTTTTTTAAGTCGTGTTTCTTTGGAATGCTCCTTGTATGGCTACAAAGAATATTGAACGGTAGTCACATTCGACGTTAAGAGTGCTTTTAACTCGGCCGTTCTATTTGCAGAAGATCAACTACCTATCGGACAGGTGGGGTGCCACAATGCTTCCTCCCGGGCCCACTTTTGTGGAACAACTTATATGATGGAGTGTTGGGCCTCCAACTACTTAAAGAAGTACAAATAATTGGGTACGCAGGGTGGCCGCGAAAGTAATCTTTAGCAGAATTTTAAAAAAGTATCGTTTCTCAAAAGGTCTAACAAAGGTCTAGCTATCGTTGCATACTCAAATACAAAATGGCGAAACTAGGACATTAACACCTAAAACTTCTGTAATATTTTTCTGTCGAACGCTAAAGGGAAATTTTGTACAGCAGCCTCTTATATCCCAATATTTTAATAATCCCGTTACTTGATACTCAACACTACGTTGAAGGAATTGGCTTTCTTCTTGGCAAGACCAAACGACAGCTGGTGGGTTTGAAATACCAAAACCAAAATACAAAAGAAGTAAACTTCTTATATTCTGTATCTACTGGTACATGAAAGAATCTGTTCGACAAGTCTAACGTCGAAAAAACTAGACCCTTTTGGAGACTATCTAAAACATCGTCCATTACAACTATTGGAAAGTTGTCTTTGATAATATTTCTACTTAATTGCTTATAGTCGCCACATAATCGTTTGCTTCCTTCCTTTTTAGGAACTACTTCTACTGGCGAAGTACATGTAGTTAGAAGAGCGTGGTTGTACCTTTCTTAAGACAACCTTCTATTTGTTTATCGACAAAGCAACGATATTTAATTGGTAGCACTCTTGGTCTCTGATATATAGAAATTTTATTTGTTAAAACAGTTTACATTTTAATGGGTGCTATGCATTTGCCAGATGACCTATATTTCCCAATCACATTTTTAACTTAAGTAGCTAAATCCAAGCTCAAGTGCTCTAAATTCAGACTACAGCAGAATGTGCTGTAGAGGAGACGTAAAATATCTTGTCACTACCATGAAGTAATATCTTATCTGGTGATTCCGTGGGAGAGTCTTGAGTTGGGAGTAGGTTACATTTAGCGGACTAAAGTCCCGTACTTCCTCCTAGTATACAAAAAAACACGTGAATATAAGTTTTCAATAATAAAATATACGATTTATATACATTTATCACTATTGTAACCTATTTAATTTTCCTGATGGTTTGTTATATATGTATGTATGTACATTTATAATGAAGTATACACAGAAGTACATAAGTATATATCAATCATTCCAGCCGAAAGCCTATGATGCTAGCGCTGCGTACTTTAGTTTATATAATAATTTGTTTATTATGTAAGCTTTAATAAAATAAAATATAAAATATATCAAATATAAAAAATAATTAAAAAGTAGGTCCTATTTTCACATTAACTATAAATATTGCTTTGAAAAAGTGAATTAATTGAAACATACGTATACATACATAATAGGTTGTCAAAAAAGTCTTGCGGATCAATTGTTCATAAAATTTTTTTTTGATGACTCATGCTCAGCTCTTGACCGATGCTACGGCTGCTACGGCCGGTCTCTTTCGACCAATTCTGCGATTTTATCGCAATTTTCGACGACAGGCCTTCCGGAGCGTGACGCATCTTCGACCACCTCTACACCAGAAAGAAAACGTTGTGCGGTGGAAATGGAAACTGTATCAGGTCCATAAACTGAAAACTTGAAAACACATTGAAAACCAGTTTTCGCTGAATACTACTTGGAAACTTTCATTCCTCTCATTATAATCGGTACCTGCTCTAGTTTAATTGATTTTATTGGAAAATATATTTTTCCCTAAATTGAGATTTGATATTTCTTTACATTCCATATGCAAATACAGCTGTCACTTGAAATTGTCATATTAGAGGATTCTCTTACTCTTGCAAAACCCTTGCACGGTGCATGAATTGCAGAATTTCCCTCTTGGTGAAACGGCGCAACAACAAACAAAAGCAGATAATTATTTGCTATGGCTGTTTTAGATGTCATTTTACATAAGGTAAGTTTTAAAAAAATTTTATAATTTCTATTTAGATTTTAAAGATTTGTTATAATTTTTTGTTAAGAATGTATTCAGAAGGTGTACTAGTTCACAATAGTTATTCTCAATAAATTGACCTAATCAGTCGATCATATAATATATCACTAGATTCTGCAATAGGTGCTCTATTGGCCTTGTATATTTTGGTATAGGATTTTTGCATTTTGTGTCATCATGAAATCTTGCTAGAGCAGGAGAATCCGCATATTGATATTGAAAAATGGAAAAGCAAAAATACAAAAAAAGAAATTTATGGAGTGACAGGGGGGAAACCCTACTCATTGAATTGTGGCGAAACAAAATTAGTGCTCTTAGCGGGCCAATATTAAGGATTCCGAAACTTAATAGCCGCGTTGCTCAAAATGTAAGCAAACAAATAAATTTGTGAGTTGTCACTGAAAACGCATCGAAAACACAAATGTCGGTCCGAACGACTTAGATTCCACAACCCACAAATGTGTTTTCAATGTCGGTCCGAACATAGTACAACACAAGCCTCTCGCAGGCTTTAATAGGATTTTTAATGTATTTATTATTTTTTATGTACATATCATCTCATAAAATTTCTAAGGGTTAAGAGAAATGTTGGTATTTTCGTGAACAGTTTTGCCCTTTACTATATACATATGTATGTAAATATTATATAACTATCTACTAATATTAAATTTATTGATTTGATGTTTTTAAATGCCCTGTGAATTGTCTTAACAATAATACCTACTATATAAAAATTAATCGCAATATGTGTCTAAGCGCGTAACTTAACAATGCCTAGACCAATTTGGCCAATTCTTTTTTACTTGCCGGAAAACCCCTAAAAACAGCCCTTTTCTTTTTCCCACGCAAACGAATGAATATTTATTGGTTGCTAACACTAAGAGAACAGCTGTACCAATCTTGATGAATTTTTCAGAAGTTGTCCGTAGTGGATCGGGAAAGATTTGGAAACCATATGCTTTTCGTGGAAAAGTAAAAGTCGGAAAACTGGACAATTCCAAAACTTAACTTTTTTACATACACATTTTTTTTAAATTTTTATTTGTTTGATTTTTCAATGTTTTGATTTGTAAATTATTTGAATCATTCAATTTCGGTCGCTTGCTTTTTTATTACGGCTACTCAAAAGAAAAATTATTGAAAATTATTCAGTGAAAACGTTATGTGTATTTCACACAAATGCTGGTATTGTCACTGGCGAAGCGAATGAAATTTTAGGCGAATTTCGCTATTTCGAATTGCGAGTAGCGAGCGCACAGTAAATTCCCCACTTCGTGGCGAAAGAACTAGCGAAAATGAATATTTGGTATTGCCACTTGATGGAGAAAACGTTAGTAAAATTTTGAAAATTTATTTATTGTATTTCATTAATTACAAATTTATTTATTTTTAGAATAAAACGAACAACTCAAAGGCAATTTGAGACAATGGTGCAATTGATGGAAAGAAATCCGGACTTAGCCAGAGGATTGGCACCGTTTGGCTCTACAAAAAAGAATAGAATGGAGTTATRGGAGGGTATTGCTTCAGAATTGAACAATATCGGGCCTCCAATACGTAGTGGCAGCGAATGGAATAAGGTAAGAATAAACAATTTTGATTGCATATACATATGCACATATCTGTATTAATTTGTGTATTTCTTAGGTTTGGTTGGACTACAAGCTAAAACTAAAACGGAAAATTGCAGATAACCGTAAAGAGATTGCAGCCACAGGTGGAGGACCATACACCCAACGCAGTCTAACGCCTTTGGAGCAGGCCGTGGACGAGTTGCTCAGTTTGCAGCAGGCAGAGAATCCAAGCGGAGCCGCCTTTGGAAGCACTGCACCTGCACCTGCACCTACACCTGCATATGTAGAAGAGGAACATCTGGAAGATGTCGAGGTTCAGCCTGAACAGGCTGCAAATATTAGCATTTCGACTAGGCAGGCACCTACAAGCGTGGAGGAGCGCGAAAATTTGCGTATGAAGGCTTTGGAAAAGCAAGCGGACATGCAAGAAAGCCTTGTTGGTATCATGAAAAACATTCATTCGGTGTGTAATGAAATTTCTAGGTACACCAGAAAAATTTATGAATTAAAAAAAGAAAAATTAGTCCTTTATAAAATGAAAGAAGAAAGAAAGAAGGAAGAAAATATTGAAAAAAATAGGCGACATAAGGAAAAAATTGAAATAAAACTAAAAGAATTAGAATTAAAAAAACTTAAATACTCAAAATAAAAAAAAAACGTATTTTCCGTATATTCAAAATTAATTTCAATTATTTTATTGTAGTTATGTTACATATATGTACATATATTTTAGGGATGCAACTAAACTATGACAATGCATTCGCAATTTGTCTTCGGCGATGATCTGCTGCTGTTCCACTGAAGTTTCCTTCAACTGGTTCCATTGGTACTACCACATCAACAAAAGTTTCTTCTTCAGGATCATTCACATTATATTGTTTGCAAATATTGTGTAAAGCACAACAAACATTTACAATAATAGTTGCTTTACAAGGAGGATATCGTAGTTTACGTTCACCTAGTATACATCGAAAACGGCATTTCAGCACTCCAATCGTCCTTTCAACTACGTTCCTTGCCTTTGCATGTTTCTTATTAAAATTTGATTCCACTGTTCCTGCCAAAGCGTTTCGGAAAGGCGTCCATAGATACTCGTGTAGTGGATAACCAGAATCACCTAACGTATATTTAATGTTAGTATTTATGTATGTACATACACATATAAATTGTAGTTACCTAAGTAAACCGAATTGTGATCTCCTCTTTGGTATGTTTGCTCCAGATATGTTTTTAATGCGCTATTGTTCCACACAAATGAGTCGTGGCTAGATCCTCCATATCTCGCATCAACACATCTTATAACCATATCCTGATCGCATGCCTGATAAAAAATAATTTTTTAAGACGAAATAATAATAAGTAATAATTTATTTATTTAGTTGCTACTTACAATCATCGCATTTATGCTGTAAAATCCTTTTCTATTCATATATAAGTGCTTGTTCTCACATGGAGCAATAATTGCAACATGGGTTCCATCAACGCAACCAACCACATTTGGAATTCCTGATCTGATGAAAAATTTCCTTCTTGTTGTTCGTTTCTGCTCTTCAGTTATGTATGTTTTGATCCAGACATTGCACAGAGTGGATTCCAATWTTGGAAGCATTTCCTTAAAAATCAACGAAACAGTGGGCTGCGCAATACCTAGTTGGAAATCATTTCCCACTGTTTGCTGATAGCTCCCATGAGCCAAAAACCTGAGAACGCAGCASAWTTTCAACATCGGCGATATTGACGACGATAGATTAGTCGGACATTTTTCCTTTATGCTGTCTAGCACATACATAAATGCATCCTTACTTAACTAAAAGTTTTCTTTAAATCTGTTAATAAAAACTTATGTGACGTGATATTTGTTTATGCACTTTTATAACAATAGATATTTACAACACTGAAGAAAGTTCCATGGGATTAGAGTGATCTCTGATGAACCGTCGCTGCCTAAGTAATTTCGTTGCTGCCCTTTCAACATAACTGTCTTCAAAATATAAATCTAAGTTGTTAAACATTTTTATTCACTTTTTTAAAATCACGGTAAAATTTCAAAACACACAATAACGAATAAGCAAATAATAAAATTTCAAAACAATAACAATAATATGTCAATTTCGGATGAACTCGTGTGACATTTCTCAATTATTTTAGTATGGCAACAAAAAAGTTGAGCGAATGTGTTCATTCGCCAGTCACAATATGAACATGGCGAATTTTCGCCTAAAACATTCGACTCGCCAATGCATTCGCTTCGCCAGTGACAATACCAGCAAAAGTGATCAATTACAGATTGAAATTTCTTACGATGCTACGAAGAGGTCGCGCTAATATCGGTCGGCGTTCTTTTTGGCATCAACATCCAACCTTGCGGACACTAGAATCCCACTTCGGGTTGTATGTCTGACAATAAATGCTCCAAACACTATCTACGTGCTTTTCTTTCGGAAATAACCAAGAAATGATGTATATCCACTCACCAGACGACAATGGCAGAACATTCAGCATTCAATTAAGAAGTATGAATATCGAAGTTGACAATACGATATTCTTTCCTTCTGTCGTGCGTCTCGCAGTTAATTTGGAGAAAGGGCAAAGAATGTATTTCAACCCAAGGAATACATTACAGCCAGTGGAAACACTGCCAGCAATAAAATTAAGATTAACGAATTTTTTCTCAACTTTCGTCAGTGATTTGTTTACGAGAACATTGCTCTATTCGGAAGTACCTTGATATTATACCTGGAATGCATCGTCGAAGAAATATTTACGCAGAATATTACGCAGAAAGCTAACCGTTAGATTGACATCGAGGTGTGTTCTCAACAAATGCCTTCGAACGAATTTACCCAATCCACCCGATGATTGTTTCTACCATCGGTTGCTATTGATTAATGTAGGCGGTTCAACTTTATTTTAGTCATTGCGTACTGTGAATGGTACGGTGAGTGCAAGCTTTGGAAAAGTAAGCCACCACTTACAATTGCTGGAACATGTTAGTCACTAGAATGAAAATGAAGTCCACACATTTTTCGTGATGATCATTTCGACATATAACCCTTCAAATCCGCGTCAATTTTTCGATAGGAATAAATATGAAATGACATTTTACATCATATTCGCTAAGTAGTGGAAATGGGCAAATTCTTGATATCAATTCACCTGCCTTTTGTCAATTCACTTCAACGAAAGATGAACTCATCACAAATCTTTATCCGAACATTGGCCAAATTATCGCCAATTATGCCAAAAATACCGATATTGTTGACTTAAACTAGAAGATTCAAAGTCAAAGACAATGAAGACGATGTCGTGAACTATCCAGTGGAATTTATAAATTCTTTGGACAGGTTTGGTATGCCACCACATCATTTGCGTCTCAAAGTTGGATCTGTCGTTATTATGTTCCGCAATCTGCGCCATCGAATACAAGGGGGCAGAATGCTTGATTCTAAGCATTTCTTTGAGTTGTAACGATTTGCCATTTCAGCTCAAACGTATTCCATTTCCAGTGAAAATTGTATTTGAGATGACAATCAACAGGACACAAGGATAGTAGCTAGAAGTGTGTGGCATAAATTTGGAAATGCTATGCTTTCACGCGGTCAAATATACGTGGCGTGCTCACGAGTTGGAAAACTTCTTTGTACATCGGAACAGAAACCAAAAAGTGTTGTTTATCAAGCTGCGTTACATTGAAAAAAAAAAATTAAATGATAAATTTAACTTTCTTTTCATTTCAAAACTCATAATTTCACGCAGGACAACGTCTGCGGGGTGAGCTAGTAAATTAATAAAAAATAAAATAAATACATATTTTAATATAAATTACTTCATCGGCTAACCTTCCGTGATGAGTACTTTTAAAATGCAATGCATGCAAACCGAAACGCATGCAAATTTTGTTAGTTCATACCCATGAACTACGGTTGTCATACATTCATGAATTTTATGCTTTGCCCAAATGCCTGCAATGGCGTTTACGTATAATGAGCTTGCATGAATGCTTTGCAATTGCGTTAAAGCAACCCATAAACAACCGTTAAGTGAAGAAATTTATTATACTCTGTAGTAACATTTTAAGAGAGTTTGAAAAGAAATATGCATATGCATGTGATATGTGATATATATTATGTGTATTGTGATATTATAATTCTCTCAAAAAGGAATACCTCCATTGCGTCCTTATTCCAGTCAACTTTTTGTCAAATATATCGGTTGTGAGATATATTAAAAAACTATCAATAGGTGTGTTTCATATCATTGTGAAGCGGGAGTAGGGAAACCATCAGCTGATGCAATGTAAACAAAGACACAGCTGAGAGGTGCCCATGTAGAGTTTCTATTGGCATCCAAGATGACCGATTTTTAACCGGAAAATGGTTACATTGTGTTATTTTCTTAAAATTTATGCAAAAGTTGTCCCAAATGGGTTATATATAATACTTTAATATACATATATTTCAAAAGAAAATGCTTTTATTTTAATATATACTCTTAAAGAAGGGGACAGTAGGAGCAAATACATGAGTAATTCAGTTTTTTATTTATGCCTTTTTTTAGCTGTTAGTTAACAGTTAAGTTAGTTAATAAATGTTCACCACAAAAAAATGTTAAGTACAAATAAGCAATCATGCCAAATAGTGAGGCCAGAATCTTCTTATTCATTTTTTGTTTTTATTTAGTTTAGTTTGTATTTATTTAGTTATTTTATCTGCAAGCTGCATAAATTTCCTAAATGTATGGGGATACACTTAAAATACCGCAACTCAGGCAGCCGACCCATAAAAATCCCGACTATATTCAAATATTTTGCCAGTATTGCTATTGACCATGGCGAAATAGTGTTGCGTAAGCTAATTTAAACTACTTTTTATGAAAGAAATATATTTACTGTATTTATACTTTAAAGCTATTGCAAATTCAAAAAATATTTTCTTTATTTAAAATGAAGAAGGTTAGTTAGCATAGTACTTAAAAGTAATATGGTAGTTTTTTCATAAAATATATACAGCTGTTGACAGCTAATTGGAAACGCTTCCTTTTTATGCGGTGCTGATAAGTATAAGTCCCAAAATCCTTGCATTGTTTGTTTCACCTAGTTCTGTAGTTGTGCATTTGAAGTTCTGTTAATTTTTTCTCAAATAGTAAATGCGTTACAAGATAGAAGGGGAAACTAGTGCGACACTAATTTGTTTAAAGAATTATAATCCCTTAAGGTGTTAATATTTATTAATAATATTATCGATTTCTGATAAGGGTGTGTTTCAAAGTTGAGGTTTAAAATAGTATATTCAAATGTATCGTTCAAGTTTATTTCATGAGGAGAAGCTGCAACTGTACACCTATCCTTATATACAGACCTATTTAAACTTGCTTAAAAAACTTCAAAAGAAATATACCGCAGAATTACTACTATCTCCCAAAGAGACAAAAAAAAAAAAAAACAATAGATCCACTGTCATTATGTGTGAAATTCAAGACAAATATAATGTCCAAATATCCAGGAAAACTTTTTCCCGGTGTTTGTTCTTATCTCAGCACGCAGCAAACCACTTCTGATTAAAATTCAAAGCAATGGTCGCGTAGACTTTGCCAACTCTTATTGAATCTGGACAACAATCCAATGGAGGTATGTCGTTTATAGCAATGTAACAAAAATTAGTCGCAAAGCTTTTGGTGGTCGAAGGTATGTTCGCCGTCCAATCAGTCAAGAATTTGATTCTCACCAGGCGTAGTGAAGCATGGTAGAGAATGAATCAATGAAAACCTGGAATGGTGTTGGGCATCCTAAAAATGTCATGTTACCAGGAACTCAGAAAATTTTGTCTGTTGAAGGGTAGTTCCAGCTCTCAAGAAATGTAAAAACTTCACATAAAAAGCGCTTAAGAAATGGTCAACAAAATTTTCAGCGGTGAATTTTCTTGTGTTAAGCTTAGTATCCAGCTCTCAAGAAATGTAAAAACTTCATATAAAAAAATGCTTAAGAAACGGTTAAGAAACTTTCATGCGATGAATTTACTTGTGCTAGTATGCTGCTCTAAAGAAACATAGTACTAATTTTTAATACTTTTTTTCAATAAATCGCGAATATGGCAACGCTGGTTTTGCGAAGAAACATGAAAACCACAATTGTTTCTTGAAGGGAACTCAAAGTAATCGTTAAACTCATCCTAAATTAGTTAAAATCACTATTATGAAGCATAGTTCGTTTTGAAATGGTGTATAAAACTTACTTACACTCACTGAATCAACAATTGTTTCTTGAAGAAAATCAAGGAAATCAATAAATTCATCCTACAATTAGTTAAATAATAATGATATGAAATATATAATAGTTAATTTTCAAATTTTGTATAGAACCTACCGATCTTTATCCACATTCCTTAACCCTGGTCGAGACCAACGGTCTGATACACTTAGTCGAGACCAATGGTGCTTGGCTAGG